TCTTTTCTTTTCTATATATTTCAACCAACGTGATAAACTGAGGCACGTTGAATAAATAAAGTTTTCTCTAGTTTTTCTTGCAATTCTTGCGTAGAAAATCTGTCGGTACCAAAGCGATCGCATCAATTGGTATCAAGAGCGAGGTTGCGATAACATCAACGCTCCGCTACGGTCATGGCAACAAATAAGGAAAGATTTGATAGATTGGAAGGCTCCGTTGATAGATTGGAAGGCTCCGTGCAAGAGATCCAGACTTCTATGCAACAGATGCAAAGGATGCTTGAACGAGGGCAAGATCGACAAAACCCATGGGGGAGAAGAAACGAGTCGTCGCCGCCACCATCGGACGACTCGTCGGGCAGCGACAGCCAAGATAGCCGCATGTCGAACAATTCGATTAGGAGTCGAGCTTCGAACAACGGCAAACATGGAAGGCGACACCACCAGGTTAGAATGGATTTTACAAAATTTGATGGTGAAGAGCCGAGGGTATGGCTCAATCGGGCGAAGCAATTTTTCTTGGCTAATGACTTACATGGCCATCGTAAAGTAGTGCTGGCTTCGTATCATCTAGAAGGAGATGCCAATCAATGGTGGCAGTGGTTCGAAAGGGCGAATCAAGGTCGTAAAATATCGTGGAGGCAATTCGAGAAAGGGATACTATTGCGTTTTGGCCACGGCAATTACGAGGACCCCAATGAGTCCATGTGTCGTTTAAGACAGAAGGGAGGATTCAAAGAATTCTTAGGAGAGTTCGAGAAGCTCATGAATTGTCTACCAGATTGGCCCGAAGAGGCACTTATGGGAGCTTTCATGGCAGGTCTCCGTGAAGATATTGCGGGGGACGTTCGTCTGTTCAAACCTAAGGATCTACAGACTGCTATGGAGCTAGCAAAACGCAAGGACGAGCAGCTGCAATTCGGGAAAAGAAGTGCAGGCCAAACAAGGACCACGAATTCCACAAAATCCAAATTCGTGAACCCGAACCCGGCAACCAACACTCGTCAATTGGTCGCTGATGGAGCAAAGCGTCTGACCTGGGAAGAATTGCAACGTCGTAGGGAACAAAACCTATGTTATCATTGTGATGAGAAGTTTGTAAGAGGGCACCAGTGTAAAAAAGCACAAGCTTTAATAATCGAAGCGGAAGATCAGGGCGACGATGAAGCAGTTGACTTTGATGAGCCGCAACAAATTTCGTTGCATGCGATTGGAGGAGAGTCGGGAAAGAAAGCCATGAGAGTAAGTGGAAAGCTTGAGAATTCACCGGTCGAAATGTTGGTGGATAACGGGTCCAGTCTCAACTTCATCAACCCGGAATTAGCTCAACGACTACGATTGGAGGTTAAACCGATTAAGCCTTTTCTGGTGCGGATGGCGAATGGTCAAAAATTGGAATGTTCGGCAAGGTGTGAAATCGTCCCAATGCATGTACAGGGATATGATTTTCGAGCCAATTTATATCCTTTGCCGATCGACGGACTAGATGTAGTACTGGGTTTACCATGGCTTGAGGACCTGAGTCCCGTGCTAACAGATTATCGAAAAAAATCAATGAAATTTAAAGTCCAAGGCCGTGAATATCACATTCAGGGACGGGAAGAGAAGGACATCGAAATTAGCGAGCTCCATGCGCTGATCGGGGACTGGAAAGCTGGAGGCGAGCTATTCGGAGTAGCGGCATCGTTCGATAGGGAGGAAACAAGCGAAGTAGTTGGTACCGGCAATGTGGAAATAAAAAAATTATTGACTGAATTTCTTGATATCCAGGCAGAGCCCGAAACCTTACCACCACAACGAGAGTTTGACCACCGTATACGTTTACACGATGAAGCAACCGTCGTCAACGTGCGACCCTACCGATACGCACACTTCCAGAAAAACGAGATCGAAAAACAAGTAGCCGCATTGCTTAAGTCGGGACTGATTCGGCCAAGTACAAGTCCTTTTTCATCGCCGGTTCTTCTCGTAAAAAAGAAGGATGGTTCGTGGCGTTTCTGCACAGATTATAGGGGATTGAATGACGTAACTATTAAAGATCGATTTCCTATACCAACCGTGGACGACATGCTTGATGAGCTACACGGGGCTAAGTATTACAGCAAGCTCGATCTACGTGCGGGCTATCATCAAATCCGGGTACATCCTGATGACATTCACAAAACTGCCTTTCGAGTTCATAATGGCCACTACGAGTATCTAGTAATGCCGTTCGGATTGTGTAATGCACCATCGACTTTCCAAGCTGCTATGAATGAGATCTTTCGGCCACACTTGCGGAAATTCATATTGGTTTTTTTTGATGATATATTAGTTTATAGTAAATCGTGGGAAGATCACCTACAACAGTTGCGGACCACTTTGCAAATATTGAGGGATGCACATTTTTTTCTAAAACCCAGTAAATGTTGTTTTGGCCAAAAGCAAGTGGAATACTTGGGCCATTGGATTTCACACGAAGGGGTAAGAGTTGATCAAGAAAAAATTAAAGCTATGGTATCATGGCCTTCTCCTAAAACTGTGCGCGCATTACGTGGATTCTTAGGGTTAACCGGTTATTATCGAAAATTTGTACACAACTATGGGAGTATAGCTCGACCACTGACAAACTTACTCAAAAAAGGAGGCTTCAAGTGGGGGGAAGAGGCACAATTAGCATTTGAAAAATTAAAAGAAGCAATGACGAAGACCCCTGTTCTAGCCCTACCAAACTTTGAGGAGGAATTTACCATTGAGACGGACGCTTCCGGTGAAGGCATAGGGGCTGTGTTGAGTCAAGGGGGAAGACCTATTGCTTTTATTAGCAAGGGGATCAGCGCAACAAAGAGGGCTTGGTCCACTTACGAAAAAGAGATGCTAGCGATTTTAGAAGCGGTTCGATGTTGGCGACCGTATCTCTTAGGGCGTAAATTCAAAATATGCACTGATCACCGAAGTCTCCGCTATCTTCTTGAGCAGCGTATTACTACGCCTGAACAACAAAAGTGGATAGCTAAGTTATTGGGATTTGATTACGAGATCATTTATAAGCCGGGAAAACAAAATAGCGCGGCTGATGCCTTATCCCGCCGCGAACATGCAAATCCAAAAATCGACGAGGGTATGGTCAGCGAGTCGGAGTTATCTGCTATTACCATACCGACTTGGGCCGTGTGGGACGAGATCGCCGCTGCCACTGCAGAGGATCCAAAGTTGAACGAGCTGAAAAAAAAGGGGGAAAATACTTCAAGTGAAGACGGGATTTCAGTCAAAAATGGGTGCGTATGGGTGAAAGGACGTGTAATGGTTCCCGAGGCGGGTCCTCTACGACAAAAGATCCTTACAGAATTTCACTCTTCACCAATTGCGGGACATTCAGGAGAGCTTCGCACATTCAAACGCATTTCACAGTTGTTTTCATGGCAAGGACTACGATCAGCGGTGCGAAAATTTGTGCGCGAGTGTGACACGTGCCAAAGAAATAAAGCTGATCATCGTCGGCCGGCGGGGCTGCTCGAACCATTGCAAATACCAGTTGTCATATGGGCCGATATAAGTATGGACTTTATTGAGGGATTGCCGAGATCGCAAGGGAAAGATACGATCTTCGTGGTAGTCGATCGATTATCAAAATATGCCCACTTTATGACATTAACCCACCCATACACGGCTAAAGATGTGGCAGCTACATTTGTGAGAGGAGTGGTCAAATTACATGGCCTTCCCACGTCAATTGTGTCTGATCGAGACAAAGTTTTTATGAGTAATTTTTGGCGGGAGCTATTTCGCTTGCAGGGGACTGCCTTGTGCACTAGTTCGGCTTACCATCCCGAATCCGACGGCCAAACCGAAGTAGTAAATCGGTGTCTTGAGCAATATTTAAGGTGCTTCGTTTACCTCAAACCAAGACAATGGGAAGAATACCTAGCATGGGCTGAATTCTGGTACAATACATCGTTCCATCAATCCATTGGAATGACACCATTTGAAGCAGTTTATGGGCGACCTCCACCACCATTGGTGCAATACATGGCTGGAACTGCTAATGTACCAGAGGTTGATCGAACCTTGAGGGCACGAGATGAGATTATTAAGGAATTGAAAATTCACTTGGCAGCCGCTCAGAATCGAATGAAGCAAGCGGCTGATAAACATCGACGTGAGGAGCAGTTTGAGATTGGCGACTGGGTGTATTTAAAACTTCAACCATATCGACAACGGTCTGTTTTCAAGAGGATTTTCCATAAGTTGGCTAGCCGTTTTTACGGTCCATTTCGCATTGTCGAGAGAATTGGCCGTGTGGCGTATAAGTTGGACCTTCCTAGCGAGTCTCGCGTACACCCGGTGTTTCACGTTTCATTGCTTCGGCGTAAGCTTGGGGATCAACAGTCTGCAGTAGCTACTTTACCACCTTACACCGTGGACGGAGAACCCGTTCTTGAGCCCACACAAGTTCTGGAGTCTAGGGTTGTTGCTGGAAATGGTGGCCGCGTGCGAGAGGTGTTGGTTAAATGGAATTCCTTGCCAGTAGAAGACGCCACTTGGGAAGCTTTGGAGGTGCTTGTCGAAAAGTTTCCCCACCTTAACCTTGAGGACAAGGTTGTATTTGAAGAGGGACGGAATGATAAGCCACGTCGTAGCATGCGAACCATCCGACCTAACCGGCGCTACTTGGACTAGTTAGGATCGTGGCTCATGGGTCTCTATAATAGCTTCCTTATTAATAGCTTCTTTATTATTATAATTCCTAGTTATTATATTTTTATAGTATTTTAGTTAAGTTAGTCTTCTTTAATTATTAGGATTAGAATTATTCCTTGATTAGTTTACGTAGCTTTAGGATTGTCTTTCTTTTCTTTTCTATATATTTCAACCAACGTGATAAACTGAGGCACGTTGAATAAATAAAGTTTTCTCTAGTTTTTCTTGCAATTCTTGCGTAGAAAATCTCGGTACCAAAGCGATCGCATCATTTTTATAGTGTTACAACTTTGGTATCACTTGGTAAATAAATACATTTTTCAGTCTGCAACGTACAGTAGAACTTCAATAAATTAATAACCTCACTTAAATAATAATTTATTCTTATCCCGACTCAATAAAAGCATACTAAATTTTAGCTTCAGCCTTGCTTTTGCACCAATCACTTGTGTTTTTCCGAATCCAAAAAACAAAGATAAAAAAAATAAAATAAAACAAAATAATGCTTTATAAGTAAAATCAATAACAATATTAATAAGAACTTACAATATGAGAGAATGGCGAACACCATTTGAACTATACCAACTCCAAGCAACACAAAACCGGCAACAAGTGAAATCACTTTCCACGGGCTATCAAAATAATCCTGTCTCAATACAGCCATCCACGTGTTCTTCCGATTAATACAATGACGATTAACTCCCTCAAAAACATCACCGTACGAAAACATGACCGAAGGTTGTACATTATTCCCCATTTGTTTGATCAAATGGTACACCATCTCATCCCCTTTGACCCACGTGCTTATAACCCCGCACCGCCGCAGCAGCTTAGCGTCCCTCGGTTCGTGGATCAAACAATGCATGAAATACATGTAATCCGTGAACTTCCTTTGGTTACTGGGAGACATTGCTCGTACGCAATTAAGTTTCTCCAATTGGACTCCGTTAAATCCGCGATTGCCAACATCGGAACGTAGATTTTATTTTTTTCGAATTTGATGTCCAAGAAACTACCCTCGTCTTCTCTCTTCTTGAAGATAATACCGCTTCGTTCAGCTCCGTGGCGGAGTTTATGTTCATTTTGTTATATGCGTAAAGATTCGGAGAAAACTGCAAACTTTCGACGTAGTGTACGAAGCCAAGGAGATGTGGAGGAGGATTATTACTATTCGTAATACTACAATCTTGTAATGATTTTTGTGCACTTGTTGATACTAAAGGCCAGAACAAATTGGCTGCTTCGTTTTTGTCGCGGGTCTTTGATAGTTGGAGAAGCTTTTCGAGGACGAAAAACGGGATTTGATTCTCGAACAACACGAGGTCGTTAAGCACGTAGTTTTTAATGTTGTCGAACCGGAAAATGATGTCTTCGTCCTTGTCCTTGTTCGTTAGTTTTCGTTCGTCGTCTTCATTGTACCTGCGTATGGGTGGAAATTGGACGGATCAAATTAAATTAGCAATTTCGGAAAAAAAAATCCAGTTTCTTTCGTAAGTGAAAAACTTATAATTCCAATTTTGTTCAACATAATTTTTTTTTTTGGAAATTGTAGTGAAAAAACTTGTTCCAAATTAAATCGAAAGTTTCCGATCAAAAACTAGCGGATTTTGGAAATTCCAATTTTTACTTATCTAAACTATAAAATGTATTATTATATTCATATTATAAGTGCAACTTTCAGTAAAAATAAAAAGTGGAAATTTTCAAATTAATGCCGAATCGGAAATCGGAATCTCATAATATTCAAGTTCACATCCATAAGAATTCGGAAAAACTAATTCCAATGTTAAAGAAAATCAGAAATTGAAGTGAAAAAAATTGCTCCAAAATCGAATGTTTTCAGATGGAAATTGGCGAATTTCATAAATTCCGAATTTGTTGTCACTTGAGCTACAAAATGCATAATATGTTCATATTCTAAGTGCATTTTTTTTTAAAGTAAAATTCTTGGAAATTAAAATCAGATTGAAAATCAGAATCTCTTATGCTTTCCAATTCCGATCCATAAAAAATAGGAAAAATAGGAAAAATCGGAAAAATCAGAATCAAGTTTCAAAATGAAAACTTGTTGTTCCCGATACATAAAACGGGTAGTGAATTTAGTAAATTGGTTGAACAAATTAATTAGTGAAAATACGGAAAGATTAGCCGAGGCGAGTTGACTCTGTCCTTAAGACGAAATTTCCCCGCAACGGTGCTAACGGATTAAATGGAAATCGTCTCCCAAGATACAACGGCTAAACTTGGAATAAGAGCACTCCAAATCCCAAGTACGACGAACTGTACTTTGTGTAGAACTTTTCGAGAGAATCTGTGAAGGGTAGGCTTAATATGTAGTAGGCTTGTTTTTGGATTGAAGTGTGGAATTTTGGGAAAGTTATGGTCTATTTATAAGGTTCGAAAAGTAGTGTCCTTTGGAGCAAAAAGGTACCTTTTGTTTGAATGGTTGCACCATTTCAAGTTGAGCCAATTGGGAGTGGTTGCACCATTTCGAGTTGAGCCGAATGGTTTGCATTGGTTCGGCCGCACCAATTCAGACCAGTCAGACCAATCGAGATGGGCTTCGAGTAATAAGGGCCCAATGGGTTAAAAGCCCATGATCTAGTGTTTTTGGCCCGTCCCAATAATTTGATATATATACAGCTCAGTACTTCTCTACTTTTCCAATGTGAGATAACTCAAAATCCCACTTTCCTTATATTTTGGACTAGTAATTTTTTCATTCACCACAAAATTGGTTCTAATCCAAAATTCATTTATATACTCAATTAGACCGTACAATAACATTGATAAAAAATTGTTCATGACTCAATTTTTAACCAATTTTCCCAACAAAACTAGTGTTCCAAAATCGAAAATTTTCAAAAATTTCCACCCGTATACCTGCGAAAGAATTCGAGGATGAAAATGCCGTCGAGAAGCAACATGAGGACGAAATCGTCCTTTCCCAATCCGACTAGTGTCTCCTCTTCATAACATCGACGTGCTCTTTCTTCCAAGCCACGAATCTCTCTCACGTATATATCCACGCTCGAGAAAGAGCTTGAGGTACTTTTTCTTCTGGTGGTCCATGCTCTTAAGGTGGGGCTTGTCGCGGTGGATCGGTCCTATCGCCACGGCCATCGGATCGTAGGCCTTCTCGTTGATGCTTCGGAGATTGTCTCCCACCCTGTGAATTGACGGAATTGCCCTTGACGACGTTGAAGACAAGTCGTCGACCATCTTGTCGATTAAAACAGTGAGTTCGTCATCATTTCCTCTTTTCACCAACATTTTATCCTCGATTAAGTC